AGTAGACACAATCACATTAAGAGTTTGTTCTTACTAGGTTATTTTGTTTTGTTTTTGAGTCCTAGACATCTTATCTCTTTATCAGGGAAGACACATTTTAATAGGAGGATATCTAGAGGCAATATCTATACAACAGAACAGAATTCTACACAATGGAACATCTATACAATAGAATAGAGGGGAAAATGATTTGGGGGGTTGGCGAGAACAGAGTGACAAAGCATTTTCAAAATGAAATTGGCAAGTTGGTTTCCTGCGATTTAATGAAAATGTCTGCATACGCCAAACCCCGTCTTTGGGTTGAGCTAAATGTATTTCCTCTGGTGGTGAGAGGAGAAAGAGGAGGCAGAAATTACATGCCATAACCTCCTCAGAAATACTGCAGGCTCCTGGCCATAACGGTATAAGGGGATCTCTGCAGTCTCAGAATGAAAAAGAACTATGTGTCTACATTCTATTTCTGTCCTTACAAATTTCTGATTTTTTTTGCAGCTATCTAAGAAAAATTTGATATTGTTGTTGTCTAAGCACATTTAAACTTCAGCTGAAATAACTGCCAAGTGATTCATGCCTATGTAGGTGAATATAACGATTGTATCTGGAGCCCCAGTGCGCCATTTCCATTTCACTTTAAATAAAAAACAAAATGTATCTATGTCAGTCAGTGCCCTTCTGCTGTACTCAGAGGTATCAAACAGGCTACAATTATGATTGTGAAGTGATTGTGTCACATTGGAGGAAGGTTTATTGCTTTTGAGTCTGCGAGGCAGTAACACATTCTGTTTCATATTACTCTTTATATCATTGTTTGGCTGTGACTAGAATAATCAAATGCCATCAAATGCTGTCAAATTCAATTTACAGTATTTTTCATTGAAGCGGGCTTTCTGCATTATATTTCCTGTTTTCCCTCTCCATAGCTGCCATGGAATAGTCACTGTAATCATGAGCTTTATTTACAAAACCAACAGAGTGAAGCCACGTCCTGCTCTATAACAGATACTTTATTTCCCTTTATTCAGAATAGGAATTTGATGTGCTTTTCTCATACAATTAGCATTAAGTAGATGAAAGAAAACTATTTCAAGAGGATGGGCATTTTAGAGCCTGCACTAATGTGCTTAGCGTAAAATGTAAATTCACATTAGCCATTTTTACATGTTCATGTGTATTTGAATCAGAAATATTATTCTTCAAATTAATGTTTGCTGAGAAGAAATTTGGCTTGCTCGTTTTCAGTAATGTCATTTACATAACCAGAAATGCAATAGTACTTCCTCCTTTTGTAATTTTCCTCCACACCCTAGCTCATCACTGAAGATGCATCTGAATCAAAGGGTTTCAAAATACCCGAAGTTAGAGGAGGAGCCTACACTAAGTTTCACTAAGTGTTCGGGGTGTAGGACCAGACCAGGGCAGGGGCGAGGCTGCTGGAGGGACTCAGGACACACGCTGAAGTGCTGACGTGGGATGAGCATCTGAGAAGCAACATGTTGAGCTTCGTATGCCTCATGTGAATACACTGCTGTTGGCATGAGGTTTTCCTCCTGCAAATCCCGCACGACGGCCAGCATCTGCATTTTCTGTCTTCCACAGCAAGCTCTCAGGCGGCAGCATCTTTGTCCCCTTGGCTCTGTCTGCATCTTACCTTCTTTCCTCCTCCTCCTCCTCTCTCCCCCATTCCCCTGCCCTCCCTCACCCCCTCTCTCCCTCTCTTTTATTCCCTCTCTCCATTCCCTCCTTCTTAGTATTCATTATTAATTTAAAGAAAACAGTAAAGGATGTTCATGTTGATCAGGTGAAGACCAGATCAGAGAGCAAAATACCTTTGAAACCAAAATGCTCACGGTCTCTATATCTCTCTTCCCCCTTCTCTGTCTCTGTCTCTCTCTCTCCTCAATTTCTCCCTTCCTCTCTTCTCCATCCCCTCTTTCTTTCATTTTTTTTTCTCTAGTTTAGGTACTCTTAATAAATTCTGCACATAATGGTGAAAACAAACTGCACTGGCACCAGCTAGGCAGTTGAGTGAACACTCACTGAAACAGAAGGGGCTGAAAAGTGGAGCCCCTATATCTGCATGTGGAAAGCACCATCTTTGGAGGATGAGAAAAAGCCTTTCCCACCTCTACATAATAAGTGATGGGAAATATTAGACTTCCTGTCCCAGATCTGGTTCCTCCTCTGGAAAGACTAAGTTCTCTTGGTCAGTGAGCCTCTGGAGGATTACTCTACTGCTTCATCAAACAGAAGTCTATGTGGGATATGTGGTCTTAGCTTTCAAACAGATCTCAACCAAACTGTCTCACGGTAGTTGTGGCTTTTTCCTCTGGATAATGTGTAAAAGCTTCAGCATCAATCTGGGTCCCCACCAGCAAGTGCTCCAAAAATACATGAATTCCCATTCATGCTCTTATGAACATAGAAAATGCATTTGATTCCACAGTTCTGGGATAGGACACATTCTTAAATAACTAAAAGTCATAGTAATGGCCCATCTTACCTGTGAATAAAGTAGTTGATTATGACTCCATTTGGCTTTTTAGGTGGGCTCCACTTAACCTCTATGCAAGCTGACCCCAATGCCTTAAGAATAGGGGCATTAAGACCCACTGGGGCTGCTTCAGATGTTTTGACAAACATCCTACTGCTAACTCCGCAACCTCCTTGAAAAAAAAAATTGAGGTTTTTAGTTATTTGTCAAGCAAAGAAAATAGTTACATATGCATATAGAAGGGTAAATATATTATGAAAATAATTTTATCTGAACTTTTGTATAATACCTATTTACATTTTTTAGACTAGTACTATACGTCTCTATGAGATTTGAACATTTACATAGGGAATCATTTTTGGAAAATCCATTAATTAACCATATATTTATACAGGCATAGACAATAAAGCATGTGCTTGTCTGAAGTTTCTCTAGTCTATTGCAGTCGTTCTAGCTAGAAAGTGAAAGTGCACTTGAATTTCACAAGTGTATGTGTGGCCTATGCATCTTGTATGCTCTTTTTATTATTTTTGCCACTATTTTAAACTAATGAATGCTCTTCAAGCACACAGGACTCAAATAATTAGTTTGAAGGACACTGGATGTGTCAGATGCAGAAGTTGACTTCATACTTAAATCAAGAAAACACATTCATTTAAAACTATTTCCACATTGATCAGCTGAAGACCAGATCATGGAAAGAAATGTCCTTTAAACAAACGTGCCATGGACTGGTTTGTAGAGAGAAGTGGGCAAAGTGACACATAATTTCTGATATGAATTCAGCATAATAAAATCATCA